GTATTTATTTGTTTTTTTAGGACCCGGAGGAGATCGGGTAGTAGCATTGTAGTATTGGACGGCGACTTGGATCCGGTCAAGATCCGGTCCGATCTGGACGATAGCGGAATCAACATGGTCATGATGTTGGCAGGCGATAATGGACCGCACCGGGAAATGGCCGTGGACGTGCCAGATTCCTTCATCGCCAGAAACAAAACGCCCCCCAGATATCCACCCCCAAAACCAATACTTGCAGTAAGTAATAATAATTCACTCAACATTCTCATCATTCACAGTTCGTCTGTGCAACGATTTACAGAGATGCATTGTTCATATGCTATTTGTTTTTTATTATCAACTTATCAATTAGGTAGGTTATGATCGTCTGCTCGGAGTTACGTTCGGGGATGAAAATCAGGAGCGCGCAATCGACGTTCCAGATAACTTTGTTGAACGTAAAAAGACGCCACCGAAATATCCGATATCTACCAATGTTTTGAAGGTAACGAGAGGGCATTGGCAACTTCTTCTTCTTCGAATTATTAAAACTGCATGAAATTCTGAACTAATCGATTTTACTTAATTGTAGTTCGGAAAGTCTTCAGTAGATATTAACTTACCATAATTCTGTAGAAATTTAACACACATGGATTTATACAAATCCTATATTTGTTCTCTTAATTATCGTAGATTTGGTAATTGGATCTATGTTATTCTTAAACATTATTTTCTTCTCACATACATGGATATTTTCTCATCCTAGTATCCTGATATCCATTTATTAATTAAGTTTATGATTATATTTTATCATTGTTTACTGAAACTAAAGTAATTAATAGTTACAAAAAAAAATCACTTTGGTTTTTAAAAATATTAATGCCCTGAACAAGACAAGTTAGTTTTGTATGGTAATATATAAAAATGCATTTAAATTTACTAAAACTCAATTGGAGATTATAATTCTTAAAATAGACTTATCTTAAGATTTGAATGTTATTTCTTAAACATATAAAGTTGCTTACTTTGCAAACCACTTCTGGAAGAGTTTCTTAATTGATTTTGGTATTTTCATTGGTAAAATCCGTTTGTTCTAAGTGTGTTGAAATGATTATATTTCACTGTTAATTGAAGCGCAAGCATTTAGCAAACAGAATTATTGAGTGCGCTGCGCTGCAAGGTGGAGTGTAGAGTTCTGAATACAATTAGCGCTTCGGATGGACTCGTGGAATTTCTGCACTTGTTTCAAGTAATTGCAACTGACAATTAGTGGATTTATTAGTCGTCGGATAATTATGTAGAAAGTGGCTTTGTGTAAAAGAGCCTCGAAATTCTTGCCGTGCGAACAAAAAGGAACAACGAAAGCGATCGATTGCAGAAAATAAACAAAGAGAAGAAGAGAGAAAAAAAAAGGATACGAACGAACGTGATGGAGAATTTTCACACTGTCCTGGGTTATCTGAAAAGTTTGATTAAATTGTGTTTTCATTGTAGGCTGGTGTAAATGGGAGCACAACGCAAACCGCTGGGGTTGTTAACAGCAGTAAACCCGTGCCGCCTCCACGAGATCACCTGAAGATGGAGAAGGATGGGAGGCTGGTGAACAGTGCCCAAGCGCCCCAATTACCTACAAGGATAACAAATAACAACAACATACAACAACCTATGACCCCAGTCAGTCCGACTTCAGCTCCAGCGGATCCCAACGCCGGCGTGGCCAACAACATTAAGAAGTATCAAGTGAGTGAAGCCACTTTTTTTTTTACATATTCTTAACTTAATATTTATACGCGTTCGCCTTCATCCACAAATTGGAAAATCTAAATTTTAATAATCCTAATAGCATTCAGATTATTAAGTATAAAAAAACATAATTCCCTTTAAAATCTAGTCTGACAATCCGATTATCGCCGTAGTAATTAATTTCATCGCCTTAAGCGGAAGTAAAAAATAACACGCTCAGATATTAAATTGAGGAATTACGTAATTCCCCTATCTATATAAATGTTTCCAATTGGATCTACATTTCTGTTACAACGAAATTGTACTGACATTTAGAGCGTTTGATATTTCACGCCAATTTGATACGAATAGGAAATTAATGCTCACATTAAATAGATTTACTGTATTCCAAGTAAATATATAATGGTTATTTTACTTGTGCAGCGAACAGTAATTTGCAGGCGTTTAGTTAAATCTAATTAGGTCATAATTTGTATTAGGACAATGTTTATTTTAACTACTTTTAGATCAGTAGATTTACCTCCTAATTATCAATTAAAAGTCAATGACCTGATACTAGTTAATGAGCGTTTACTTATAATAGGTTGAAATTCCCGAAATCATGAGGCAATTAGACATTATAAATACGCTTCCTTTCATTCAGTTTTGATCTTTAAAGTCGTTAATGAACTTCGGGAAGAATCCGATAGTAATCTAAGTTTGGGACCAGCCTATATATTGTCGTACATGTAACGAACAAGCATTATTCAAACATGGACCTAGTTGCATGTAACTTCGATGCTTACATCGTGTTTTGGAAAGGTTAAGGCGCAACTATCAATATCCGAAGGAGGAATTTCTGGCACTTGAGGTGCGGCCTGATACTAATACCAGATTTGTGTTTGCATTCTTCACGCTTTATTCATCGCGCGTTTCTTCCGATTGTTACACAATTATTTGATTTGGTACAGCCTGGAAATCATGAATATATATATTGCATATTTCATATTTAAGCTCGAGCGTTAAACATCGATTCAGTTTGGATTATAGTGAATTTTAATATAAATTCAACGTCAAAGTGACGGATTATTATTTAATGGGAGAGCAAACTTACTCGGGCATTGAACCTTTCAATTTTTAAAATGACAAAACACAGACAGATGTAAAATGTAATAATTTTATATTGATGTTTAATATTAATTACTTGAATTCATTATTAGTGAGTGCTTTAAAATGTATTTTGGAATACGGTCCTAATTAAGTTAATTTATTTTGAAGGTTACTATTTAATGCGGGAACTTTCCGTGAAAGAATTTCTAAATGTACGCGATTCTAGAAAATACCTGTTAAACATTTCTTTTATTATGCATAGGAAAACACTGTTCGTTCAATTTGCGTTTAGTTGCATAAGTTTCCGGGTTGACTAGCATCAAATGGGCGTAACTAAAGTTGATGAATAATTTTCGCCCGTGTAAATTAATAACTTGTAAAGTGAGTTGAAAGACTTTACAGTTTGATCGATTGGCTTGCAAAACGAGCGGGAAAATATATACGACTTGTAAAACGGTTTCGCAATCTGATGACCCAGGAGGCCCCACACCGGCTCAAATTAGTCTAGACAGATTGGATATTAAATATCGAATTGGCGTCCGTCCGTCCGTTTCTTCCATATTTACCAACGCTTCGCGACACCATAACCCATATGCCTCATCAATACTTATTTCCAGCAATTCCGGGCAGGTGGGAGTATTACCTGTATAACAAACGCCGCGTGACGTAATCGCTAGTTTGTTTGTGTACTACTACCAAAGCATACTCACCTGACTACAATTTTTGTTGAGTTATTGCCAAAAAAAAAAGTATAGTTTTCGTACAGTGGTGATACACGCTCGGACAGTTAATCAAGTTCTCCGGTTTCTCTTTGTAATTAGGTAAATGCGTGTATTTTAAATGCACGTCGAGCGATAACCACTTGCATACAGTTGTTTTCTTTATTTTGCGCGAATGAGACAACAATTGCGCAAAAACATTGTAGAACCGAAGTAGGTAAAATGAAACATTAAGAGTATTCAAATGCCGCGAGTCGATGGAACGTGTTGTTTTTTTGTGATCATGTGCCACTGAGCGTCACTGTTTCATAGTAATTCCCGTGAAAATAGTTATCGTTGTTTAGACTTTTTTAATTTAGCTGCACTAAAGCTGTTATCTTATGCGATATGAAAATAGGGGTCTTTGCATGATGGTTTCGACGAATCAACCTAGAAACTCGTATAACCACCAGGTTAGTTTACAACAATATTAATTTATCACATCACATTTTAATTTTACTCTTTGTTAATGTGCTCAAGGTCTGTTTCATATTGTACTAAAATTATTGTATGTTTAATTGCGCATTATTTAAATGAGTTAAAACAACGATGTTCTTGAAATTTAAGATTAAAATTAATAATACAAACGCAATGCTAATATGAATATAAATTATAATAATATTTATCAAAAGATAAATTGTATCTATTTGCGAACAGTTATTTTTCAAATATTTGCTTTGCGCGCCGAATATAAATGACACACACTATACGTTCTTTATAAAGCCGGAAATAAACTGTAATTTTAAAGCACTGTTTACATGGCTTCCGTGATATTCAAACAATAAACTGCTGTTCACTGATCAGCTAAACAATAGTGCTGTAATAATTAAACATCAACTGAAGTAAGACGATTAAGATTAAACAAAAAAAATAACAAATATTTTGTTTATAAAAATGGAAAAGAATGCAAAATATGAATATTTCTAGGACGCGTGCGATGTCATATTGTGGAATACTGGTGTGTCGATTTACCGCATCATAAAATTTCCAGTAAATCACATGCTTTTCGAACATTTGAAGCGCGAATACAATAAATAAACAACACCGCAAAACTATGTACATATTAATTACATGCACGTTCGTTTTGCGTGCTTTTGTGCACTTTTATTAATATTTAAATGTTTGTTCGATTTTTCAGGAACAAATCAGGAAAAGAAAAGAGGAGGAGGACCGAATAGCGGCGCAAAATGATTTCCTTAATAGATCGCTCAGAGGCTCTAGAAAGTTGCAGGCCCTCGAAAGCTATCCAAGCTACGTTAACGAAGCCCTCGTCGACGATGAAGGCCACGAATCCTCTCGACCTACTACTCCAGTCGAAAAGGAAATCGTTCACACGCCATACGGTAAAATGATGCTTTTTTCTTGTTAAATAATGTTTTTCCTTATTTGAAAGTCAATACACCTAATTTATACCGTACACGCCATTATTACGGCGGGCATTTCCTGTTTCATTTGTGCAAATGCGACCGGAAACGTAATCGGTGCAGCAGCTTTTGTTCTCTGTTAAATGAATGAATAACAACCGTATTTTTATGTTCCTCCATTCTTTGTGTTGATAGGCTATGGCGATTTGGTTGCTTCGGTGCAGAGGTTGCAACTGCAGCTGAAGAAGGCTGGTACTGGAGGTGGTTTAGGGGGAATGGAAGGTCGGGTGGCGGCAGTCCAATCTCTTCTGCTCTCGCCACAATTCGGAAGGGCTTTGGCTATATACAATAAAGTCCAAGCAGTGCGGAATCGCACTGCACCAAGACCAACTGCCAATGCCCAAGCGGCACTAAGAGACTGCCTGGATGCATTAAGCTCGTCTCAAAGCACACACGCTGTAGAACTAGCCGCTCTTCTAACCGGTAAGTTAAACATTTCTTGTTTTCTCGTATATGGAGTTTATTTTCATAAATAATATGTTTCTTAAGGATATGAGTTCGAAGCTTTAATGATAGCGCATGATGGAGTCGCTTCAACACTACCGGAAGATTCGACGACGCCGATGCCTTCGCCTTCGTCCTCTGAGCCAATTTTAACAAAACCAATTTTACCGGAACAGTATAGAGTTGATAATATAAAAGTTATAAAAATTGAAAAGAGTACAGAACCATTAGGTGCGACCGTTCGAAACGAGGCTGACGCTGTGGTCGTTGGTCGCGTAGTGAGGGGTGGTGCTGCAGATAAAAGTGGTCTCCTACATGAAGGAGATGAAATATTGGAAGTGAACGGGATCGAAATGCGTGGAAAAAGCGTGAATACCGTCTGTGATATTCTTGCGGCCATGGAAGGTACGCTAACCTTCTTGATTGTGCCGGCTTCGCAAGCCAGAGCTCACAGCAGCAGAGAATCTATGTTGCATGTTCGCGCACATTTCGACTACGACCCTGAGGAAGATATGTACATACCTTGTCGTGAGTTAGGAATTGGATTCCAGAAAGGAGATGTTTTACATATTATTAGTCAAGAAGACCCTAACTGGTGGCAAGCGTACAGAGAAGGCGAAGAGGATCAAACCCTTGCTGGTTTAGTTCCTTCACAAAGTTTCCAGCATCAACGGGAGAGCATGCGTTTGGCAGCGGAGGAGAGGATGTCGAAGCCACAGAGGAAATCCACGACGTTACTTTGCGGAAAGGCGACGAAGAGGAAGAAAAAAAAGGGAGCTTACGCTGATGCTGGATACCCGATTACAAATACTGCCGACGAATTCGAAGCCGAAGAAATATTAACATACGAAGAGGTGTCAACGCATTATCCTAGGGCAAACAATAAAAGGCCAATCGTACTAATTGGACCTCCAAACATTGGTAGACACGAACTTAGGCAAAAGCTTATGGAGGATTCAGATCGATTTGCAGCAGCAATACCACGTAAGTTTAAAACCAATTAAAAGGGAAGCCTTTAGTTTACATTCAATTTATGTTGCAGATACCTCAAGAGCAAGAAAAGATTCTGAGGTGGACAGTCAAGATTATCATTTCATAACGCGCGCCCAATTCGAAGCTGATATTCTGTCACGGAAGTTTGTGGAACACGGAGAATATGAGAAAGCCTACTACGGAACCTCATTAGACGCAATTCGATCTGTGGTAAACTCGGGTAAAATATGTGTACTTAACTTGCATCCGCAAAGCCTCAAGATCTTGCGTACGTCCGACCTAAAACCTTACATAGTCTTCGTTGCACCACCGAGCCTAGAAAAATTGCGACAGAAGAAATTGAGGAGCGGAGAAACGTACAAAGTATGTTATTTATTAAATTTTTAATGTGTAACATTTACTAATTTTTTTTTTCGCTTACAGGAAGAGGATTTGAAGAATATAATTGAAAAGGCCAGAGAAATGGAGGAAAAATACGGACACTTCTTTGATATGATCATCATCAATAACGACACGGAGCGGGCATACGGACAACTGCTGACCGAAATCAACAGTCTCGAGAGGGAACCCCAATGGGTACCAGCGGCATGGGTGAAAGCCACATAAAGAGTTACCGCAAACTATTCCACAAGATCCTCGCGCCCGAAATTTTGGGTTACGGAAGAGGTGCTAGTCGATATCGCCAACAACTTTTGGTTTCTATATACAAAACGCGCACCAACATTTTCAACGTCCTTTCATTTTGTCAGATTTTCGTGAAACAGTCGTTTCCTATTGATGCATATCAAACGTAATCACTACAAACTGTTCCTTTGGATTACCTTTCGAAAGCACCTTCTGAACAGTCTCTTCTCTCGACTATAAATCAATAGAAAACATTCAGATGGCAAAAGAAGCATTTTAAAGATAATCCCCCCCCCTCAAACGCTCCAAAAACAAACAAAAACCGCCATACTTATGGAATGCTTATATTTGAAGAAAGAAAATATTATTTATTTTTAGTTGTTTAAAGATACAATTTATTTGGGAAATCGTGCAAATCATATTTGTATATAAAACCAATAATATAATTTATATAAATGTTTGTATGTAAAATATTGCTGATAAGAATTGAAGCAAAAAAAAAAAGAGATATTTATTACTGATTTGACTGAGAAAATGAGGAAGGATTTGCAAGAGACGTCTTTGGGTGTGTGTGTGTGGACATTTTAATGCATCACTTGATTCGTGCTGTGATTCGTTTCTGCTGCAATCACACGACGTTTCCCTTTCTTCTTTTTTATAATCTTACATTGGACGGTATTTATTCGTAATAATAATAATAGTTGAATGTTTGTAATTATAAGAATCAATAAATAAAAATATAAATTTAAAAATATATGAAAACACTGAAAGAGAAGGCAATAAACTTTAATGTATATAAATAAATGATTATATAGTGAATATAAAGAAATACTCGTGTTTTATCTCTGTTTATATATTATTATTACATATATATATAGATCGTGTTTCTAGCTCTCCATTTTACTGTAAATAAATTAAACAAAACAAAAAACAAGTTAAATATGCATTTTAATACAATTTTCTTTTCTGAAATCTATATCTAAATCGAGAACATTTTAAAATGCTCATTTAATTTATCGATGTATATCTAGTAGACTAGGAAAACGTATGAAAAAGGTTATAAATTAATCTTTTTTTAATTTTTGTATGAATTTACATATAACTAATAATGAACATATTTTAATGACATATAAATGGCGTTTACGTTGTTCGAAAATAAAATGAATCTAGTTGCGTAATACTGCTTTCACTCGAATAAACAACTATGTACTATCATTTATTTTTTTTAGTATCGACTATATACCTTATTTAGGTGCGATCATTTAACAAAATACGCTGAAAGTAAAAACAGCAAAATTATGGAAACGACGATTTCAATGTCACCTTTACTTGTACGTATACGTTTCCAATTCTTACTATAATTTTGTTATATAATTGTATATAAGAGATATCAGGTGTATATAATATAAATATATTGATACCAGACCCTATGGCGTCTGTTTTAGACAATGTTCTGTATTATATTATTATATATGTTGGTATATTATAAATTTGATTATTTTTGTGTCTTCGGGTTCCTTTATATTAAATATTTTAATAATACGTTTATTACGTATTTGTTTTCTAGATTTGAAGAAATAAATATTTCTCACTTTAAAATTTCCTTTCAATTTACTCCTGATCCAATCACTTTTTTTTTGTAATGATGAAATATAAACTTTTAACACACGTTTTTTTTTTATTCAATAATAAATATTTAATACATCGCAATAGAAATGATAATGAAATGGGACATGCAAACAACAATTTAATACATAATGAAATATCGAAAATTATCCACGAATGATTATATTTATAAAATACTGAAACAGTTTCCTTACATTTTATATGTACATTTACAATTCTTAATGGTTTTAATATAAGTAAAAATTAAAAAAATACATAAATATATATTAACTTTAATCCTAATTTAATTGCTAGCACAACATTCATCAGAATTAAACTATTTTAGCTTTTTAAATAAAAATAATAAATAATCAGTCGAGATATATTTTGTACATAATAAAATAATAAAAAAAAATTGTGATTCTATTTTTTAAATAATAAAATTATCAATATAAATTGTTATATATGCTATATAAATATAAAATAGGACTATATCGAAATACTCAAACTACGAACAAACACTTGATTTCTAATTTTCAACGAAACATTTCATAAAATTTATACAAACGTGCAAACCGATTTTTTCTTCTATTTTTTTCCACCAAAGAATTAATAACAAACAGACAACATTATCCAAACATTAACTATAAATAATTTTAAAAAAATGTATTAAAGAGATAGAGATTATAGAAAGATTATAGTTAGTTCCTTTCTCGCAGCGGACCGCCGGGACTTTCAATTCTTGAGCTATTTAAGGTTCTGTTGGGACTGTTCAGGTTTTCTTTATCTGTTCCGTGGATTTTCGTTTTTCTTGGAGACTTGGTCAAATCGGCTAAATCGCGTTTCAGTTTTTCGATCATCCTCGCTTGAGACTTCATTTTAATCTCCATTTCCTTATTGCTCTGCAAAGAGGAATTAATAGTCTCAGGAAAAGTAGTTGTAAGCAGTTTAAAAAGCATTGAGGGATAATGATAATTATTACCTCGTTAAGTGTGTAGTTCTGCGCTTGCAACTTATTCAGATGCTTTATTTTCTCCCTGTGGTTCTGGTTTCCTAGTAATTGGGCATATTTCATGCCGATGTTTTTCGCCTCCAATTCCGCCTCACTCTTCTGGTTCAATAGTTCCCTGTGCTCCAACTCGTATGATTCCAATTGATCTCTAAATGGACCAATCAAATCACTTTGTTCGGAAATCTACAAGAAACAAACATTATTGCATATAACTAATCACTAACGTTGTAAATGAATAAAATGAACAAACCTTATTTTGCAATGCATTATTTTCATTTTGCAATGTTTCATATTTCTGTAATAAACAATCGTATTTTCCACTTTGCTCAATATACTTTTTATTGATACACTGCAATTCGCCGACTTCGTTCTCGTAATCCGAACATTTCATTTTATAGTAATCACAGTATTTAACATAATATTCGTTCTTATCATTTAGCTGAGCAATTATTTTCATAAGCTTTTGAATTTCATCAATCTTCTCCTCGTAATCTTCAACTCGTTTCTTCATATTCTCACAATCTTCCAACACCTTGTTCAATTTTCTATTCAAATCTTTATTTTCGGCATTGGCAGCCTCGCATTCATTTTCTCTGTTTTTAATCTGATCTTGTAACATGTCTCGTTCTACCTCTAATTCTTCCAGATTTATTTGAGCGCAACCCAAAAGTTCACTTGATTTTATATTTGCTGCCTGCTGATCATGCAATTGTTCCATTGCATCATCCAAAGCCATCTGTTTATCTTTGATATTATCCGTTAAAATATGCACTTCATTTTCCAACTTCTCTTTGTAATAATCAATTCTTTCCATCAGTTGATTATGAATGTTCAAGATTTGTTCTTGGTTTTCTTTTACTGTTTGTTCGTGTTTATATTCAAGATCCTCATTTAACTTAACAACCACGTTCAGCTCTTCGGCGAGTTGATTGCATTTCCCTTCAGTTTCGAGTTTCGATAATTCGCAAACTTCCAATTCAGCTGTTAATTGTTCCACATCTCGATCAGAATTTAATAGACGTTTCTTCAAAGTCTCTATAGCTTCGTGACTTTTGCTGATGGAGATTTCGAACATCTTCTTCTGATTAATCGAATCCTGAAGGTCCTTTCTGCATGCACGTAGATCGTTTCCAATTTGTTCCACGTACTTGATATCTTCATTATAAGTTGTTATTGTTTTTTCGTAATCTCGGACTTTCAGTTCTAAATCTTTACAAGATATTTCCAAGTCCGCATTTTCTTTAACCAAATGTCCTAACTCTTCCAATTTAGCATCCAGCTCTAATTTGATGCTTTTCTTTTCCAATTCACACTGTATTATGTTGTATTCGCTGATCGCTTGACATTCCTTCAGTATCGCTTCAGATTCCTTCATTTGTTCTTCTAATTTGATTTTCCAAGATAACTCGACATCCTTGAGTTTCTCCTGTAATTGCATTTCAGCTAATACTATAGCTTCTTGGTTATCTTCTTGGATTTGCTTCAACTTGGCGTAATTATCATTAAAGATTTGTTCCTTTTCTTCTTTGAAATTAATCTGTAAAGTATCTATTTCCTTTTTCTTATGTTCCTCTAAATGAACAATTTTTTCCTTGTTGCAATTGATTTCTTTGTCCAATGTGCTCTGCATTTCCGTTACTGTTTTGAGCATTTCAAATTCCAGCTGCATCATTTCCTCCTTGTGCGCCCTTTTGATTTTTTCCAATTCTGATGCGTGCGATCTTTCCAATTTTTCTATACTTTCCACCAGCTCTGTTTTTATTTTATCTGCTTCCGCCACAGCCGCCTCTTTACTTTTAATTTCTTCGTTTAATTTTTCTAATGTTTCCTCATACAGCGTTTTGTGTTTATTCAATGATTCTTTTGTATCTTGAATTAGCTTCTCTTTTTGTTCATTTAAAAGCCTTTCTTCTTCCTGAAGTCGCAAAAACTTTACTTCCGATTTTTGAATTTTATTTTTCAAATCTAGAATTTCCTGATCGTGTTCTAAATAAATTCTTTCTAATACCATTCGTTGCTCTTCCTTCAATTCAGTTGCAGTCTCCTTAAACCTATTGCAATCATCTACAAGTTCAATCTTTTGTCTCTTCAAACAACACATTAATTCCTTCATTTCCTCGATTTGTTCTGTTAGGTCCTTAATGGATTGATCTTTATTTTTGCATTCAACAATTTTTTCTTTGAGCGCTTCTATTTCTGGTTCATCTTTTTTTTTGAAAAGATCGGTTGGTTTCGTTTTTCGCGCGGAAAACGATGCAAAAATCGATTTCTTCTTTTTGGGTAGCGTTGGCTACAATAAAAAAAAAGAGGTAATGATTTCAAACATTTTTAACAATTAATAATTTACCGTCCGGAAACATGGTGTACTGTTCATAGATTTTATGGAACCGCTCTCGGAAACTAAGGGACTTTTAATGTCCGGAAATCTTTCTGTCTTTGGAATAACAGCACCGGCTGTCTTGTTACCGATTTTAACATTGTAATCCGCTGGAGAAGGTGTGCAAGCTACAACAATATTTCATTACTTCTCTACTAACCATTTAAATATTAAAAATAAGTATTTAATTGTTCCCATATAAATGTATTGGATTCACTTTGATATCTCGCACTATTAGAACTAAAACTACTTGAGATTTAAGACTTACGTAGTTTTTCATTGAATCTTGTAAGTTTTGCTCTGGAAAACGACATTGTGATGTTCGGAACGTAAGTTTTGCAGCACACTGAACGAGATGTCTTCCTTATCTTCCGGACGGTATCTTTCTAACGACCGACTGTGACCGACAGCTGTTGCGTTGAAGGCGCTTTAGGAACCTACTGACGGTTGAAGAAGACAATTGGGACCAATGGCAACGCCGGTTTTTTGTTTACCACTCCAACGGTTGCTTCCAAACCCGACCGTGTACCAATGTGCATTAAGGGAGAGATTCGTTTACCCCCATACGCAGGGCTTGCATTTAAATGTATTTTGAACGGAAATAGGACTACGACCGTTCTTTCAATAAGGCTCGGAATTGCATTGAATGTCTTCAGGTGTTACCTCCCGTTGCATCATTAGCCCGTTTTCCCTCCATTTCCTGTGAATATCCCTTGAGAAATTTCGATGCAATACGAAACTTACACAATTAATCAAATTAACGTATTTTCTTTCCTCTGTTTACCTTAAACGTTTTTTTCTTCTTTCTCGAATAGTTACATTTGAATATTACAGAAACGCTGTAGAAACGAGTATTTTGATATTTAGATTGTATCAAAAGTTCTATACTTCTTGATACGGTGTGAATGAATTAATCTCTCCCTTCTTTGAACGCAAACAGTAATATCTAAAATTAACATAACTTTACGTCTTCACACCTTTACAATTTCGCATCTGCCCCGGGTGCAGACAATTTTATTTAATTTTTATATTATCGATTATCTTCCAAGAATCGTGGCACCAGTACAAGGTCGGGGGTGTTAAAAAAAACGACAGCATACGGTGCTTTAGAATCGAGCGACATTTACCCTGACCACTTTTGTCCATTTTTATCGTTATTTTGTCCTGATTTATGGACTTTTTTTCTGCATCTGCTTCAATTTTCGAGTGTTTGCTTATACAAATGTGGTAAAACAACACTTGGAATAACTATACATTCAATAAAACAAATATAAATTATTTAAATAGTTATTGAGAAATAGATAAATTCACGTAATGCCCGTTTGAATTATTTAAAGTTATATTACTTTCATTAATAATTGAAAAACCGGTGGTCTATTGTTTGCCTCGTATTTAGTGATCTATAATGTAAAAAGCGTTTTACTTCATATTTACTAATAAATATTGGTTGTTCTTTAATTATTCAAAATGTTAAAAGTCTTTAAATATTTATTGAAATAGTTATGCTCATTTATATTTTGTTCATATATGAAATATTATTTATATAAAGTTCATCTGAATAATATTTTGTAATTAAACGCTAAATTTATGTAATAATTACAAACAAAAAAGTTGTTTTTCATTAGATTTTTCATAAATGTTATTATTATTATCATTGAAATTACATTGTGTAAATATTTAATTAATTATTGTTATGAATAATTAGCTAAATTATTTTTTTAGTGCAATAAAATATGTATGTGTCCGTCGTTTTCTCTTGTAATATATACCGTAATTTTAGTGGATAATCATTAATGTTTATAGATCTCAGGTAACTTTGAGTATAATATAGGTGCTTAGGTGTTTTAATAGATCAAAAGTATAATTATTATTTTAATAAAATTAGTTATGAAGTTAAGAACTTTATTGTCATGATAGAAATGTATATTTGGTACACCGTAATTCTAGCGGTTAATGTCTGCAATAACTGTTTTATGTAGGTGTTAAGCACATGCGTATTTCAAGGGATAAACTTTCCCTCCAATAAAAAACGAACCCTTATATTCACATTCTACTCATATGGAATCAAGAATAGACTTAGGGTCGGCAACCTTTTATACTTAAAGACAACCAAAAGCAATGATTCAATGAACTGTGGGTTGCTGACTTCTGTAAATCTAACTCAATTAGTTTTTTTGGATATTTTTCGATCCGTAATAAGGTTTAGGTAGAGAAACACTGGTTTATACAAATAAGGAAATAATCGATATTTATTCTTTACAAAAAAATAATATGTTTCAACATAATCTTGATGTAATTCATGCATCACAAACTAATTAATTACTTAAATAGTGTATTTATAATTATCATTCTTCTTTTTAAAGGCAGCTTGAAGACATCATTTTTCTTCTATTGTATAACAGTTTTGTTTTGTTTGCAATTAACAATATATGAAAATAAAATAAGATTTCCATTTTATTTAACAGTGCTATAACAGTTACGATAGAAAATATAAAACAGAACATGGTTTAAATAAAATTACTGCGTACGAACACCGCAGATTGACAGAAAGCTATTTTTACCGCTCAGAGCAACGACAGGCACAATTGTATGGACCAAAGCGATGGTTTTACGATATTCATCTAAAACACTTATGAAACTATAAGTGCAAACATTTTTCGTAACTGGATAGAATATCTTTAAGTTGCATATCGAGTTGGGATCGTATTCGTGGGCCTGATTTAATTTTTGCAAAACGTAGTCGAGCGTTTCCCGGAAGATAGCGGCAGTTAACATGGTGTTACTTTCGATGTTGTCCACATGGCAAACGATGGCCGCGATATTGTTTTCGTAATTCCAACGACGAAATATCGAGATTGACCAATCTTGAATGCACTGTCCAGTCTCCTCATCTAAACAATAACAATGCGTTAATTAAATAAACGTGGAATGTGTTGGGAATTGTTTTTCAATTACATTCAAATTGATTGTTATGCGTGTGGCCCCAGACGTGCCATTCCACAAGCGCATTTCTTGGCAATCCAGAAACTACAATGTAATCCATAATGGCATTATTGGTCTTTTCCTCCCAAAGTTTACGAGCGTCTTCTACATGTCGTTGATCAGATAGGTAACATATTCCCTGGAATAAGACTCTATATACTAATCGTTTTTTTTGCAGTATTTCTTTGTTGTAAATACCTGAACTACATCTCTTAAGTCACAATTAGGATCAATGCCTCTGAGTAAACGTTCCACGTGTCGCAAAGACAACTTACATTGGGCTTTAATCCCACCACTAACCATCAACATACTTCCAGGAACCATACTGATTTGACCAGCCAAATGAATAAGATCGCCTATTTTTGCAGCTTGACTGTACGGCCCAATGTTTGCAGGGCACCAATGTGATATGCTCTGCACATGCATTGTCATTCTAAATGTAAAATATTTTATTATTATAATATTTAAAATTAATAAACGTTCTCACTTTTCAATCTTGTTATCTCCGCTCGCATTAGGGTTTTTCCATGAAATTGCTTCGAGTATAACTGGGCAGTGTTTAGGTAAAGGCACTTGAACACAGGCTCTTGTCGGAGGATTTACATGATTCAAAGTCTCGCAATACAATTTGTTCAATTCGGCGTATTGAGACATATCAGCTACGTACATACTTATACCACACAAGTCCTCCAAATTATGATTGTTAGCTTCCAATGAACCTAAAAATATACATATAAAATCAATGAAATGAACTCGAAAATTTCGTTTCATCCACTCGTTTCAAATTATGCGACTTGCATACCTACACTTTAATTTATCCATAGCTTTAGTGAAAGCTTCTTCGGGATTGTTATCCGAAACTCCCGCGATTCCACCGATCCACAGCCATCCATCACCACTGCGAGAAGTGTTCTCAGTTTGGTTAATTTCTTCATTATCAAATGTTTCCTTTCCGTTGCCATCCGAAATTGATTCTTCTGCTACGGTCATTTGCTTAATTGTTTTCAGATTAGAAATGTTTCTATTACCAGTCTCAGTTTCTGCAACTGCATCTTCGCCTGGATCTGTGACGTAACTGTCACTGTCTTTTATTTGTAATCCACTTAATCGACCGGTTAAATCTAATTGGGGCAATTTCTTTTCCAAATTGAGCTTGTTCAATTTCAGGTAACCAACTGGCGCTATGGCATCCTTTGAATCCATTACAATTTCAGACTCTTCACTGAAAATATATTTCTATCAATTCAGCAAAAACTGATCAAATGAATGTGCATTTACCTACATTATAATCCTGCTTGTATATAATGGACAATCGAGTGTTAGCGATTCATATTCACCACCTTCGCCACATACGTTTAGGCCGTATTTGTCATGCATTGCCTTCAGGTGTGGTTCTAGAAGCCGTATAGAACGGCGTAAATGTCTTTGCGGATCCAATCCTAACGTTGCGACCTTTATCAGGACTGCGTCAATTTCGCATTTAATCATTTCTTCAAGAAGCTCTTCTTGTTTTCGTTGCCACAAATACGCCAAAGAAACCAATCCCAAACGAGAACATCTTAAAACAAATCACACATATATTATATAATTTCAATACAATCAAATCAACATTGTGTGTTATATTAATAAATACAAAGAAGTATTGCATAAACGTTATCAGCAATAACAAAATATGCTTTTCATTCAGTATTTAAATTAATATTTACAAACAATATTATTAATTTCCAAATCAAGTTCAACATTTTTTTTTACTTATAGTTTATCTTATCAGAAACCAAAGTTTGCAGCTGATTAAAAAATTGTATAAACAACATGTAAATAATATTAATGTAAAACACATACACATTCTCAACTCGAACTCTCTGATAATCACTCAAAATGGCTCCACATGATACAGCATCAATTTCAATGTCATCCATAACTTGTTTCAGAAGTTTATACAAATCCTCGACCTCATCTTCATCAGTAGGCACATAAACCTTTCCCCTTTCCTTGCTCTCCCCTTTAGTTTCAATTTTATACAATGGCAATTCCATGGCAGATGCAATATAATCGATTGCCTCAAATCCCACACTCTGGTACATGTAACTATCAATTTCAGTTTTCTTAGCTGGACTCAAATTAGCGAGTGCTACAATTGTATGTCCAGCTGCTATGCATTGCATCATATTGTAGGTGCTATCTTTGCCACCACTTATTAATGCAACAACCCTCATTTTTAATATCTGCAAAAAAGAGAAATTATTACTATTAGGAATCTTGTTCAGCAAATGAGGACACTTGTTAAGCTCTCTGACATGACTGCATGGTAAAAATAGATTGCAATCTGTCCTTAAATTGTATTCCAATTGATATCTTACAGATTTACTGTTTTATTACGAAATCATGCATCATTTATGTTGTGTTTAAAAACAATATTTTCAGTTACTTACTTGTTAGAATCTACTGGAATCTACGGAAATGTAAATAAATTGTATAAACGTAATTTAGAACTGTTTCAGGTTATGTTAGTACATGTCAAATACATGTCAGAATCAACACTATCTCTGTATAACAACATTCTTTGCGTTGGCAATTATTAAATTAACAAGCGGTACTTTTTAAATATTTTATAATTTTGAAAAATCCTTTCGTCTCATGTGCTATACTTTTATAAGTACACTAATCTTAACATCATGCACTTAATTCATTTATATTGTTTATACCTATTATTCTAGGATCAATTTACAATTGTTTCAAAATTTGTAAAAGTTAAGCAACTTGAATGGGTGACCTGTGGAAGTTGCCAATTTTTGATCAAAAGCGACGTTTTATTTACATTACATCCAATAGTCCCAATTATTTTAAAATGTATAACTCACATTGCAAATTTGCTAATTTTATATAACTCTTAAGTACATTTTTATTTGTTCTTGACGATATGAAAACCTAAATAATATTAATTACTGTTATTTTTTTATATAATAATATAAACAAATGTGAACTTCACTATTAACATAATATATGAAAATACAAAACTTTAAATATCTCTTATGATATAACAGAATTTGGTTTTGTTGTAGTTTCAAAGGCAAAAGTATTAGGATCATACAAAGCCGCCTCCACCGCTCCTGCTGTTCATATTTGTACGTAAATATTTCATTTGGTTCAGACTTCTACACGCTTTTGTTGTGTAATTTATTTGCTCTGCTCCAATTCCATTGTTGCAGCCACACACGAACGTGGAATTTAAAATACACAAAAGCGCAAATGTGTCTCCTAAACAACATACTTTTTCCTACAATCAGAATGTTTGAAACACATTAAATTTTATTTAACACGTTACCCCTTTTTTTTGTTACACTTATTATATTGCACTTTTCATAAGACCTGGAAGTAATACTAGTAAAATTATTATAATAATAATAACTACAGTTATCAGATTGATAACGTATTAATAGATAAAACAACAAAATGCAGTTTAATATATGCAGCTTAATTAACTATGTAATTCTGAAGAAGAAAAAAATACTGCAACATTTTTGCAAACGATTATAGATCAGTTGCATATCAAAAATTGTATGTTATTGACAAATCATAGTTGACGATGAAGGATTTTATATTTTGCAAGGATTACGTTATAAACAATGATTGATGTGAGTGTACTTTTGCAAATCTGCACTAAATGCTTTGATTGTTATACAGTGAAACCTCGATTAACGATGAGAAGAAAAGTCCCAGATTGCGCGCCTGCTAGATCATTTTTAAAACTTGTGTACACGTCAAGCGATGTTCCACTATATATTGATGTGTTTAAAATATAAAAGATCTGCAATATTATATTGATTTATGTAATAGCAAGATATTTTCTTTTACAAGGACGTATTAATTATGTAATATGGTAAATGAATCGATAGAAATTCATTTATTATGTTACATTTCCAATGTCATAAAAATGTGATCAATAATATTAATATTTTTGAATCGCAATTTCCTGGCGATCAAAAACTGGTTAATATAGAGGTTTTTGCTCTTTGTTCTAAAATGTTTAAATAAAATAATGAAATTACGATTTAATCAACTATAAATAAATATGTTAATAACTGGAAATTGTATTTATACATTTTGTGTAAATATAAATTATGCATTGAAAATGAACTATGTACATGAAAATAATTATTTTTGTTGTTTTCAGCTACTACAAAAAATAGCGTATCGATAAAAGGTGTGAATTATTAAGTGAAAATCTGAAATTTTATTTAGATTTGTTTATTGGCTTATCTCCACGATTTACTTGAAAAATGGTTTCATAAATAATGAGCAGTTTAAAATAATTTCTAAATGAGTTTGCGTTTTATTGGAGATTGTAATAATCAGTATATTGTTATATGGTTGAATATTTCTTTGTAGCGTAGCAGGGTCGTATTGCGTGGAGGCACGTGTATGTATAAAGCTGATGCATAAATGATTGGAACGTGAATTATAAAAAGAATAGATTCTAGCTGTATCTACCTACGTACCTACCTACCTACCTACATATCCAGTATCTATCTATCCCTATCATTCCTTCTGTTGGCGGACGTCGTGTTAAGGCGGGCACCCAACCGATGCCGTATCGATTCCGTGCGCGTTTCCCGCCGAACTGCGGCCGACTACTTCGAAATTTCCACCGGCAGCATTTTCCAGTTTTCCACACGGCATCAGGTCGCTCGCACACACACGGACCTCGGGGAGAAACGGCACAGCGTGCTCAGGTCATGATCGTACAATAACAGATCGCGATCCTTCAAAGATTACATAAACTAATAACAACAATACCGCGCGGAACGTGACTTTGTGTGCTTCTCATAATAATTCATTCGTTAAGGAGGATGGTAAATTTTAGTGCAAAAATCTATCATAGTTCTGAAAATTTGCTTAAGATTGAAACACCAAGAGCATGCTTGAAGAAATCCTTGTAATATTATAGCTATCCTTCGACTTTGATGTCGACTTCGAGTTTAATAATTAGTCCTTACGATCATAAATCAATCAGAGACTATTGCTTTTATTACTATTGCCCACAGATTAGATATAATTTGATTATTATTTTCTTTTGTTATCATTCTAGCGATAACGCAAATACTAACAAATATAACATTTCCTTTTTCATATGAAACCAACAAAATGTGTACTGTTTACCATCCGCTTTGTTCCTAACCGTAGTTCAAAGAAACAATTTTACTCATTTATTTTTTTGTTAGGTATATTTAAAATGTTTCGTCTCATTAAACTTAAGGGGTGCGTGACAAAGGTTTATTACTATATAAATCACATTTTATAATGAACGCTTCCAGTTTATTTTTATTCCACACCTGCTTCGCAAAGTATGTCATTCATCATTCACGGAACGACTGTAGCAACGTCATTTATCTTAGACTTGCAATTTGCAAGACACACACCATCCATAAGAGTTCTCGAATACTAACTAGAGGCATGGCAATCCCTCATACCGATGATTCAATATTTAAGTCCGCATCTAAGCCCAAAGCTTACGGAAATTACTTCTCGCACTACAACAGAATTAGATTTACAATTTTAATGTGCCCACCCGAATGATAAGGCGATAGCCCTACGCTGCGGATACATTAAAAACAACGAATCACTGCAGTCAACTTGGTGAAATATTAATGGCGAAAACTCGAGCTTGAATGTATTAACTTCTGAAAAGTTGCTGGTGGGATTATGGGTGTTCGCTTCTCAGCCAAGCGCCGAATTGCACAAAGGACTCGTTCCAATCTTTTCAGTTCGTGGAACCGAAATGGAATTATGAAAATTTTAGTATAGAAATCGCACAGAATCCAATTGGTACAATAAGCGCTCGAATAACTTCAATGTCAATCTTCCAAAATGCCATCCAATTTTAATACGGAATTGAATCGTAGCCATTTGTTACTGTTACTGACAACCGTTTTCTCTCTTTCTCTCAACATATATATTCTTAAGCTGCCACAATGAAAAATAGCTGTTACATGCGCACGTCCTATTATTACAAAAAAAAAACAACTCGTGTTAAAGAAAATCTATTTATAATTGTGTAATTTTTAATGAAAATGTCTTCGTTAATTATATTTTAACACGAACAGACAATTTTCTCTGCTATTTACTTCGTAACAATAGGCTCACGTTCACTTGACATTTCATTACTTGCTCTACTAACGAAATAGCTGTTTAATTGATTCTCAAAATTTTATTATGAAAAATATTCGTGGCACGTTCATTCTGATAAAACTATACGAATATAATTGGGGTTGTATTGATTTGGATATTTCGAAATGCGGAGTTACGGCCCGTTGCTGCATTGCTGCTTTTGTTGTATCTCTTCTCGTATTTCCGCGTGAATTCAAATTAAAGTTTTCCTATGGACGAGACAGACGTCTTCCCCACTCTAAATAAATAAATTGATTTATTGATTGCACGTGGAATCGATATTGTTACCTTTCAACGGTCTGATTAAAAATGATATACAGGTCTATCCCATCCAACGGGTTCTGGTCTTCTGCTTGTGCCACTTTTTTTTTGCATCAATCGATTATTTCATTTCATGAGTGTATATTTTAGCGGCGACCACTGGAATATTGAACGCACGTCTGTCTAATTCGTACAGCCAAGAAATAGGTGCGTACAACAAATATCATTAATTACGTTTGCAAGCTCAGCAAATCTTTCATCATTCAATGCATTAGCAAATATTCAAATCTGTAATCTACTAATTCATTACTTCTTACAAATTCAATATATAAATCAATAAAAACTCACGTAGACATACAGAAATCCTACTACGACAGCCAGACCACATATGTCTTTGCAGAATGTTGGGTTTCAACTGGGATAAACTATTTCATCCTACATAGTCTTAAGTAGTCTGTCACAGTTAGATTATTATTTAGTATAAAGTATGTCAATGTCAAACGTGTATGAACTTGATTAAAGACATTAATCTTATTTATTCACAAATTATACAATTATGTAAAAATTATATTTCCAAAACAAATTGTGTTTCGCCTAAAGAAACCATTTGTATATATATATACATAGATCTTCTAGTAAGTTTAGACACGCACATGTTATGTTATTTTAATTTATCTAATGCATTAGTTTACTTCTTTCATTATAATTACTTTATTTGACGGGACACTAGACGATACTTTTACAATTGAATGAATTATTCGAATAGGAAATTGGACTTGTTAGTCTATTTTGTGTAACGTATATCTGTTTTTATATTATTGACATGTAGCTAGTTTGGTACTAATATAAATGCTAAAAGACTGCAAATGTATTTATAAAACTTAGTATAGGAAACTCCAAACTTGAAAACACTCTACGCTTTTACGTCTTAAAGGGGAAAATAAGTTTTTTAAAACTAAAATCAATATCAAAATCTATATATTTTTATGCCATCAAAAATATATTAATTTTATCTTGCGTACAATTATTATAATCTATATCATTTTAGATCAAATTGTGAATTGTGACAAATTGAATTTTTAAAGAAAAAACGGATTTATATAAAAAAAATT